ATCACCAGTGTTCTAAGAGTCTTCTACCTCCAAATAGTGAACTGTGAAAATAAGCTGAATCTTATGCTTACTAGCTAAATTTGTGAAATTATCTTGTGACTTTCTCCATGGATTCTGTTCTAGAAAATATATAATAAGATTTTTTTAAATATTCAAAATAAGAAAATGACATTTTAGTGATTTTTTTGCTCAAATAGCCTTTTGTACCAAATGTGTAACACTAATATATAAAATATAAACATGTGAAAATATTAGATTATAAGTATATAAAAAGAGAATGGCAAAAAAGACACCATGTAGATAAACACTGAACAAGTTAAGGGAAAGCTCTGCCAGGCTTTTGGGGAAGAAGAGGTTAGCAGGGGACATGTGTGAAACTCTATTGAGTCTACACTAGAAATTGCTCCATATGAAATTGAGATGAGACCACTGTTTGGATATAAACGTCCTCCGAAGACCACATGCTAAAGGCTTGGTTGACATCTGATGGGCTTTTAGGAAGTTATTGGATTATGCAGATTCTCATAATCCTATCTCAATGGGTTTATTAGGAGGCAGGGCCTAACTGGATGAAGCAGGTCACAACGAGTGTTGCTTTGAAGGCTATATTTTGTCCCTGGGTCCTTCTTGGCTCTCTCTCTCTCCCTCTTCTTCCTGGCTGCCATGGAAGCCACCTCCACAACCCTTCTGCCATGATGTTTTTCCCTCGCCATGGGCCTAATAGCAACGGAGTCAGCTAACCATGGACCGGAACCTCTGAAACTGAGCTACAAGATTTTCCTTCTTAAATTAATTTCTTAGGTGTATCCCCAGAGTAAGAGAAAGCTAACACAATGACCTTCATAAGAAATAGCTGAGCATCTTCACTGTTGATGAATTTTAAACCTTGAAAGATGGTAAAACCAGGATGCAGCTTCCCAGTCAGGGCCTCAGCCAAGCTCCCTGCTGGCCCCAAGACTATTTCTAGAATTACCTCCGCCATCACGAGAGACAGCAATTCTGAACAACTGCAATATATCCTGTTCCTGAAACAAGGCCCCACAGTGCAGTCAGGTAAGATTGCAAAATTGTTAGAAAGGTTGCAGTGTACACAGAGAAGAAAGGACTGGGACAGGAGAGAAAAAAGAAACTAAAAGCATATCAGATTCAAATCAAGGCTATTAAAATATAATCCCAAAATATATGAAAGAATCTACTACTAAGAAAAGCAACAAAATAATTAGGACAGGTATACATTCTGGGTGGAATAAATTTGATTGAGCAGGATGACAAAAACCCCCAAATAAGCTGCTACTACTTTTGGGTATTTTCATCTGAAAATTTCTTTCATTGGTACTCTTTTTTTTTTCTTTTTTGGGGGATTGAGCATTGAACCCAGGACTCTGTGCATGCTAGGAAAGCAATTTAACACTGAGAAACATCCCCAGTCCTTTTTATTTTATTTTGACATAAGGTCTTACTAAGCTGCCCAGACTGGCTTGGAGCTTGCAATCCTCTTGCCTCAGCTTCCCAAGTAACTGGAGTCACAGATGTGGACCTCCTTGCCCAGCCAACAGATGCTTTATTTTAACATATATAGCCACAAACTTCTTTTCAGGCTTATTTTTGTCATAATTTCCCTTTCTCGGTGAATGATATCATTATTTAGCTAGTTACCTAAGGGAGAACATGGAGTGCTCCTCAGGCTCAGATCTTTCTCCACCAATAGAAAAAAATGAATCACCACTAAGTACCGTCTAGTCTATATCCTAGATATCCCCGACTTGTGCATTTTTCCCATCTATGATGCTTCATTGAAACCATTTTTATTCAAACCATTGTTATTTACTTAGACCTTCTATCTCTCCTCCTCCACTTTAGTATTTCTCTGACATATAAATAAAATATTGAAAAATATTCAAATAGATAAATAAATACATCATTTTCACTAAGGTAGCACAATAAATTATTAAAACAAGAAAGAAAGAAATAGGAATCAATGGAAATGGAAAATAACCAATAAAAACAAGATAAAATACATAATTGTTACTATAAATAATGCTTTCCTGAGAGAAAATACTACATATGAGAGTTGAAACTGAGTAAATAATACATATTGAAGAACTTAGAATTCAGTTCAAAAAAAATAATATGTTGGAAAAATATGAAAAAGTAGTTAAGGTGTATACAGAATTACAGTAGATCTTTGTTTTTTGGGATTTTTTTTTGCACCAGGGATCAAACTCAGGACCAGGCAGGCAGTAGAACCACTGAGCTAAATCCCTGGCCCTGTATACAGGATTTATCAAGAGGTTTTAACATTCATGTAATAGAAAGTACAGAAAAGAGAATAGAAAATGATCAAAAAAGTATTATTTGAATAGCTGCTGAGAATTTGCTGGAATTTTTTTAACAATTACATTTTACATATATTAACTCATTTAATTCTCAAACAAGCCATGTGAAGTAGACATGATGGGGCAGTATCGTACATTTATAAGAGATACAGCTGTGATATGGAGAAATTACACAAGGATAACTGGTTAAACTAGGATTTGAATACAGATGGTCTGGTCCCAGAGTCCATGATCTAACATGGCATACTAATAGGACCAGCAATTATTTAAGAATGAGGAGAGCCATGGAAACAGTCAAGATTCTACGTGATGCAGAAGATAATTACCAGAATGCATTTTTAAGAGGAGGCTGGTGGCTACTCAGAAGGAAAGAGAAGGAGTACGTTTTGACCCAGGAAGTCAAGAAGAAGCATGGAGAACACTAAAGGCTCATCGAGAGACCCTGCTGTGCCCACTCTAACCACGTGATCTCCAGGCAGCCTGCCCTTGAACACACATGAGAGGGTCAGGCGAGGACAGGTGCACCGGAAGAGAAGTCAACCTCACCAAACCGAGTGGGACTGACTAGAACCACCAGAGACGTTTCTTGGAAAGCAAAGACAGCAATGGACGCAAACTATCATTTTTCTTCTTTTATACAAAGTTTAAGTAAAAGGTGAAGTAATTCAACTCATTTATAAGTTTATTATAACTCTGACATCCAAACTAAGAACGGAGAACACTAGAAGGGAATATTAAAGACAGATCTTACTCACGAAAATAGATGTAAAAGCTCCAATAAAATATTTCCCAAATGAACTCAATAATATATATGACATGTGCAAAAATTTATGTCAGATTAAGTAAACTTTATCTTATCTAACAAATTCCAATGGAGTTTGATACTACAGAATGGGGTAATCAGATTAGCATATAATTAGAAAAAAGTATATAATCATGTCAGTAGGTAAAAATAATGGGCAAATTCAATACTCATTTATAATGAAAGATGTAATAAACTGGGAATAGAGGGGAGTTTGTGCTCCCTGATGCAGATTATCTGAAACATTTCTCACTAATGCTCCTTATCACTCAGCACACTGTAAGGGTCCTAAAATTTTAAAAAGAAAAATGGAAACAAACAGGATCCAAAGATAAGATCTGAAAAAGCCGAGTGCATGTTACGCAGGAATATGTTATTATGTGCTCACTTTTTATTTGAAATGTACAGTATTTGAAGGGTTTCCCATTAAAAAGTTTAAAACCGAAATAATACAACAATAAAAGTGATTACTCCTACCTGCTTGTAACCTTTTTATTACAGGAATCAAGTTAGCGATACGTTTCTTAAGATTGTCATAATATTTACGTTCTTTGTGCACAGAAATTTTACATAAAAATGAAAACTAAGGAGGTTACATTTTACATGGCCCGTAGATATTCATCTAAATAACAATAACAAGGAATGGGCTAGGATAATTTTGCTTTATCTTTACAACAAAATATAATACATCATCCATAAAAGGATCACTATAAAGACTGAAAAAACCATGAAAAAGTGTCCTTTTATCTCCATTATGATGCTAAGCAAAAACATACATGTATATATACATAAATATGTATTTTTGCACACAACTGTGGACAGATGCTCTTTGGCTTATGATGGGAATTATATCTTGATAGACACATTGGTAAATAAAAAATATAACAAAAATGCACTTAATACATTTTCCCTACCAAACACAGCTTCGGCTTGCTTAGTTAAATATGCTAAGCACACTTACAGTTGGGCAAAGTCATCTGTCACAAAGCCTATTTCATAATAAAGTGGTCCATATCTCATGCACTATATTGAGTACTGTACTGAAAGTGAAAAACAACAGTAATACAAAGTATCCAAATGTATCAGCTAGGGTGATGGTTTTATTTTTCATTTTTTCCAGTAATGGGTTTAATTTATTTTTATAGTGTAGAAAGTTTGACTTAAAATAAAAATCCAAGCCAAGTATGGTAGTGGATTCCTATAATCCCAGCATTCTAGGAGGCTGAGTCAGGAGCACTGCAAGTACCTAGCCTGAGCTTCTTAGCAACTTACTAAATCCTGTCTATAATTTAAAAAATGCTAGGGATACTACTCAGGGAGATGCCCTGGGTTCAACTTCTAATCATATGTACACACTCACATACAGACACACAGACACACACACAGACATACACACACACATACACACATCACTGAATGATGCAGCCTTTCAGGCAATTTTCCATCTTTAGTTTTCAAAAGGTGCATCTTTGTGTGAATACTACTATTTCATTCTCTCTGTCGATATTAAAAGGTATGCTATCTTTTTTTCTGCCAGTGCAAGAGAATTCACTGTAACTCAAGTAAGCAGTGCAGCTGAGGTTCAGGTGGGCATGTGAATGCTATGGTAATTCCCACTAAGGCTTAATAATCAGAATGATATTTACCCAGGTAGGTAGAGGTACTACTGCAGGATCAGGCTGTAAGAGGACCGAGTGTCTGATTCACATTGGCTAAGGCTGTTCAATTTTCTAGGTGACTTCAGGACCATCTCTGTGGGACTCCTCAGGTTGTGCACAGACTGTAAACCACCGCTTTTGAATGCCTTTCTGGCCACTTTGGGAAGCTGGGATGGATTCTTAGAGAAAGCAGCAGTTTCTTACCTGTCCCACATGTTACACTGCACTCTGTCCAGTGGCCAAACTGCCAGAGATACACCAGCTGCTCCACATCGTTGTCAAGACGATCTTTCTGGATGATGTACTCATACTTGACACCAGGGTTAGTCACCTGGAATAGGAGCTAAAAGGCAAGAGAGGCCATGTTAAACTGTCATGTTAAGAATGCAAACCTCAGTCATGTAAAAATGCTACACAAATGTCCATCATCTACAAATAGCAGCATGCACTGGAAAAGACTCCATTAAATTTATCTGTATTTGTATATCTACTTCTACCTCTGTGTCTGCCTTTATCTCTCTTTATATCTATATATTCTCAATTCTGTTATTTCTTGGCTGAATTCCTCCTGGGAATTTTCAGTCCCATAAATGGGAAGGTTCAACCATGTGTGTCTTACTTTGAGGGAATGGCAAGGAGTATCCTTTTCAACAACTAGCTGGTAGGTTACCTTGAGTCCTTATGTACTTACCACCTTTGTGAATATAGGTAAGTGCGTTAACTGCTCCATATACAAAGTGAAGATAATAGTTCTACCTACTAGTGGGGTTATCACAAGGGCTATAAGAGTAAATGCATAAAAAGTGATTAGAACATGATATGAAATCAGAACTTAATAAATGTCTCTTATGTCTATTGTGTTGTCTTATGATTCTCTTCCCTAGCAGTAAGGCTGATTAGCTCCTTTCTTTCTTTCTTTTTCTTTTGTTTTTGGTGGGGGGTACCAGGTCCTTGCGCTTGCAAGGCAGGCCACCGAACCACTGAGCTAAATCCCTGGCTGATTAGCTCCTTTCATGTATAGTTGTTCTGGAATAAACCTGGTCATGAGGTTTAGCTAAGAATGGGCCATTCTTCACTGCATACTTATCACACATTTAAAAGGAATTCACCCTAAAGTTAGAGGTGATAGATTTATTGCTCCCTGGGGCTGGGGTTCCTACCAGTAAGTCCTTGCCATTGTTGGCAGGTCAGATAGACACAAGATCTCTTGACATTCATGGACCACGGCTGCCAACCTTGACCTTCTGCTTTTGTAAATGCTCTGGCGCTGATATTACTTCCTTCCAACTTATGGATGTGGCTGGATCCAAGTCTCTTGTGCTATGGTCATTCCCAGTCTGGCTTGCCTAGACTAGTATAATCACCACACTTTTTATAGTTCTGTGCCCAACATGAAAGACAAAACTTGTGTGTGTCTCAACCCCTCCTCCCTCTAAGAGCTTCCCCAAAGGCAAAACCTTTGCTGAGGACAGCCATATGATAGCATGTCAGTACACCATGAGTGTAGCGATGCTACTTAGAAATTAATGCCACATGGACGATAGGCTGACAGAGCTTTACATACCTGAAGAATAACTACGCTCAACCAAATCAGTCCCCAGAGAATACAAACTTTCCAATGGGTGGTTTTAGAGACTCTGGCCTTGTTTTTTTTTAACTTTAGGCCCTTTTATTTTAGGATTTTTTATTAGTACATTTTAGGTACACATACTTTATAATGGGAGTTTCATCAATTTCTAGGCAATAAAAGATGAAGAACCCAAATATTTAATTTTCTTCTCGGTTCTTATTCAAAAGAAGTTTTAGTGATTCTCAATTCCTCTAGTAATTGCTTTAAAAAATAAACTAGGCTAACTAGCATACATGTGTTTAGTTCCCTTTGCCTCTTCAGTACCTGGAGCCACAGTGACTCATTGGTGGGGCCTGGGGCCATCAGTTTCTCCAGGTCCCCTTTCCTGTCATACTGAAAGATGGTCCCAGCAAACTTGTAGTTCCCATTCCACTGGATAATAAATCCTCCATTGAGGTAATGTTTCTCAGGGTCTTCACTCCTGATGGCCAGGAAGTTTCCAGCTCCTTTGATTTCCATTACTCTTATGTCCCTTGCTCCTTTGGGAATGAGTCCAATGTCCACATAACCTAAGGGGGAAGAAGTGACAATTGAAAAAGTACGCTGTTTCACAGCTTGTTTCTGACCCGCATTTATCCCATTTTCAGCATCTCCATCCTTTAGTGTCCTTGCTGGGTGGTCACTGGGATTGGCAGAAGCAGCAGTTTTGAGATGTTTTACAGAGCTTGGCCAGGGGCAGAATTCTGAGGAGCTTTATGACTCAGTGTGTAAACAGTGTTGTGACAGGTGAAAAAAATGCAGATGGGATCGGGAAGCTTTTGTAGTTGATGCAGAATTTTTCTTTCTGTCATTTTAAGTTCATCGTTCAAAATGTTACAGCTTTTAGCTAGCTTCCTGTTAGCACCCCCAACCCTATTTCTTATTGCTATCAGATGAATCTTCCTAAATACTGCCCTGGATACATAATCTTCCTTCTTCCTATTGCCAGCATGCTAACAGCAGACTCTTGGAGTTAATTTAATCCTGGCTACCATTCATTAAGAAAATCCTGGAGGGAATCCTTCATTGATTGCCACCTGGCTCACCTGATTGTATGATGAGAACTCAGTTCCTAGCACAGCCTTTTATACCGCTGGATGACTGCATTCATTAGAGAGGTTTTCCTCCTTCAATTCCCCTTTATATTTTGCTAGTATATGAATTTATAATTATTTTTACGTGTCCTCATCCAGTTTCTGAGAACAAATATATGAGCATTTATTTTGAAATGATCGTCAACTCCAGCCATAGTCTTGTTTCGGCTTATTTGTTGTCATGGTGGAAAGCACACTGCTGAAAGCAGGAATTAACACTTAGTGGTTGCCTCTGTCTGTCAGGCTCTATGCTGAGCACTTTATGCTCTCGTGTTATTTATGCTTCTTAAGAACCATCACTTCATAGAACAGGAAGATGTCAAAGACTGTCAGATGGCCTTGGGAAAGTAGTGCCGGGGCCTGGGACTCGGAAGGCTTGTGTTCTCGGCTCTGCATTGTCTCAAATTAGCTCTATGACTTTCACTAATTAGGTTCTTTAAATTTTATGTGCACAATGAAGGGAATTTAATAATGGTGTTTGGGGTTTCTCAGCTGCAAAATTTAATGATTTTTCTCTTTTATAAGCTAACCTTTGTTTCTTTAACTTTTCCATACAAACTATGGCTTTAAGGCTCGGATTATCCCCTATATACTAGATGTTTTGTTTTGTTTTGTTTTATCCTGACAAACAAGGTCATCTGAAATGTTCCATCTACCTCCAGAACTAAAGTAGTAGTGGTACTGAGTCAAACCTGGCCTGTCCAACAGGAATGATTTGCTCAGAAACTGGATAGAGGTACAGCTTTGGCCTCAGTTTTCAAATTGGTAGCTCCCATTCAGAGAAATCAAAGTGTGAGTCTTGCGGTATTTAATTAAATTTCATTGTGCTGTCACATACTTGCCTGAAATAACTGATGAACAACCCAGGGAAGATATTTATCTGCTGTAATTGAAGCTAATGCAATTTCAAGAAATGCCTTTGGGGTATCACTATCTGTAACCATTTTCTGACTTAGGGTATTTCATGCCTTCTCATATCAGAACACATTCAGGGAAATGAAATAGTAATAAATATTGTGCTTAACGCGTATTCCTTGCCTTATTAAAAAAGATTGGGGGACAGATGGAGAAAAATAATAAAAATCAATTGCTTTTTACAAATCATAAATACTTATGAGCAGATTGAAGAAGGAGGCATACAAAATTTTAAATAAAGACTTTGAGTATCAGTGTTGTTCCTTGTAGATAAAAACATTAGTGAGAATAGTTCTAAAATATGAATTAATGAATGAATTAAAGAATGATGAACATGGTCATTCTGTAAAATCAATTTTCTTTCATCTTCTCCAAACATTAGCCCCTTGTGCAGTTTGTGGGGAAGAAGGAAAATATATTCTTGACTTCAAAGAAAGAGACTCTGAGTTCATGGAGACTTCCTGGAGAAAAAGCTCCATCACTATCCCAATCCTTAGCTTTTTGAGCTAAATGAACATTCAAGGTCTTTCAGGAAGTGCTGGAAGATTGACCTCATTTCCACAGACAGTGGAGTAAGAGATACAATGAATACCATGGTCATGATACCACATGCTAATATACATCTTACTCAACTTTTCTTTGGAGTTCCCACAAAAGGATTTGACCCACTGACATATTCGTTCTCCAATGTTTGTCACTTCTAATAAAAATGTAATCACTAAATGGTATGTTACCAAGCCTGGGCAATTTATCTGCAACTTCCAGCTTGTCTGTTTGTTTGTAGCAGAAAGACAAGGCTCACTGGAAGCCAAGATCTCATGATTTATGTGACAGGGTTCCTGGGAAAGCCTTATCCATCTTTTGATTCCTGGCTCAAGAGCAGTACCAAGTGGGTGTCAGGCTCAGACACAGATCTGTATTTAACAGGCTCACAAATCATATAGTGAAGAAGGAAAAACAAATAAAAATAAATACGCCTGGAAGATCTTTGAGAAGTTGAATTGCCTTGCACTAGACTTAGAGCTTTAGCTTCAATTATTTCAAAAGAGGGTTGGAAAGGTACCAGAATCTTGTAACCCTAAGTGAGCAAGCACAACTGTTTTGCTAGAAGCCAGTGAAAAAGAAACATAGGAGAAGGAATAGATGTTGATGTTGGTTTCCTGCCCCTAAATGCTTCTAGAACAAAGAGCTAGAGCCCTAAACGCTGAATGATTTGCAGCCCTTTGGATATGAAAACGCTCAAGGTGAGGGCCCAGCCCCTCTCTGGCTCCCAGCACTCCTTCTATCGAGTCTCCTGGGAAACAGGGTACTGAAGAGTCTTCAAGGAATGGGTCATTTTGGTTTCAAGAAAGCTGTGTTCTCACTTATCATTACATACTACCTTCTACCTCAAATTATCTGAAATGTTTTCTTGTGTGATTCTCATCTTCTTCGCATGAATTTCTTTAGCCCCTAAAGACTGACTAAACTTGGATTACTTTTATGGCTCCAGCACTGGATTTTCCTGTGCCAGGCAATTTTGTATTTTGCTGGTGAAGTCTTCCTAAGGCACTGACCTTCTTTGATTAAAAACCTAAAACTATAGCATGCTCTCTGCTCTCTCTTAAATGAACAGCAAATACACTGAATCCTTAGGTACAGTACAGGAGTAACTTGGAGATTAGAAGCCATGACATTTCTTTCTGAAAGTGTCTTCTTTTGCCCACTGGCCAGTCAGTTTACACACTGCTGGCACAGCTCCTCCTGCCTCTTTGGTGGTGTCCTTGGTGAGTTCCACTCACTTAAAATCTTCAGTTTGTCACAGACCCTTCATAGCTCCAACGAAAATTCCAGAGTGCATTCTTATGGGATTGGTCAGGCAGTAACAGCATAATTGTGATTGTTGTCAATTCCTAACACTATGTGAACTTTGTTTGCTCACAAAGTAGATGAGTGACAGGAACTATGCAGGCAATACTTCAAGAATTAAGCACATAAACACACAGGATCACCAGCAGGAGAGATCCAGTTGGTCAGAAATGTAACTGCAGGCAGCGGCTTCCTTTACTCCACTTCAAGACTCTCCTATTCTAAAGCTTACAGATTTTGCCAGGAAGTGTTTGTAGAACAGGTACTTTTGTTGTTCTTTTTCTGTTTTCTAAACTGCAGATTCTTTTCCTTAATATGTTTAACAAATGAAAATAAAATTACATGTTCAGTGTCAGAGGAAACTGGGTTAGTTAAATATTATACTTAGAATTATAATAACTATTTTATGCAAAAATGTACTAAATATATGAGAATATGTTTCTATATATTGTTTCAAGATCATTTTACATCTTAACTAGTCTAATTTAGATAAAAATATTTTCAAACCAAAGTCTGAGAACATTCTGGTTATGATGAATAAATGAGGCAGGAATTGAGGCTGGTAGTTTGGGCACTGCATTAAGCAACCTAAGTACCCATTTAAGAGTTCCAGGAGGGCCAGGGATTTAGCTCAGTGGCACCATGCATGCCTCACAAGCGCAAGGTCCTGAGTTCAAGCCCTGGTACCGGAAAAAGAAAAAAAAAATTAAAAGGATTGCCTACTAACAAATAGTACACTTAAAGAGAAAAAAAAAAAAAAAAAAAAAAAGAAGAATGGATATAGCGTAATGTGCTTATACAATAGACTACCGCATAACCGTTTTTAAAACACGACCATCACACATAGCGCAGAAGATTCTCACTGACATCGTTGAACAAAATATACGAAAAGCAGATGCGTAGCATTCAGAGAATTGCCCAGGCACGGCAGGCCAGTGTGAACCAGATCAGAAATTAGTTTTAGGGGTCATAGGGCTTGGAAATGGTGAAGTCTAAAGAAGCTAACTGAGGCCAGCTGAGCAGTCTAGAGTGGTGATTTTGAGAAGTCCAAGATGCTAAACAATATCAGGAAACAGGTGATATTTAAAACTATGGCTGATGAATAACACAGAATCCAGGGCTGGCTGGAAACTAAGGCTGAGGGAACTACAAGGGAACCACGTTCTAGGCCAAAAACAATGGGCCACAGGAGATCAGGATAAAAGTTAAAGCACTGAGTAATACACCCAGAATGCCCTTGAAAATGCAGAGCTCAATGCTCCATCAACTTCCACCTGAAGTAGGTTCCTTGTTTAACTTTTGCCTGTGGGTCAAATGTCAGAGTAAGGTCCTGGGCTTGTTATCTCATAATACAAAACAGAGAAGGCAGTGGGAAGAGTCATTGTCTTGTTATCTTCTTCATTATGTCAAGAACACAATGAATGCTCCATCGATATATTTCAGGTAATAAGTGAGTTAACGAATGAACGAGACAGTTCTTACTCTGTGTGTGTAGTATACTGTTCTCTGAGTCTAAGTTCTAACTTGAGAGAGAGAGACTTCTGGTCACTGTAATCATGGTAATATCTCTTGATGCCAAACAAGTGAAAATGGGAGCTAATATGGGATCCACAATAGGATGAACTTTACATTCTCCAAGTGTGACAATATTTCAAGGACAAGATGGTTCTATTTCATATATGGTGTCAAACCTACTAACTAGATTCCTTCTCTACAGAGAAGGGAAGGAACTTAGTTGTTGAAGCACTCCAACGAGGCTGTCGATATACTTTCTCCTGGAAACTCTTCCCTGTGTCCACTGACCTGACTGTCCCACAGGCTGTTAAGAGAGGGAAGACAGAAGATTTCACTTGGGGTTAGAAGGGGCCTCTAAAGTTAAAGGGTGACTTCTCTAAAACCAACAGTCATCAAGACAAGGACCTAATCATTTTCCTCAAAACCTATTTCAATTCCATAACATCTTTCCATAGCATCACAGCGGTTACTTTGCCACCACAGGCAGCCTGCACCTGTTCTCATAGTTCACTGATTTTTGAGGCTTCCAGATAGCTACTTACTTCTCTTAGTCAGAAGATATAGTGTTCTTTCAATATCATAGCAATAAATGGAGATAAAGCCCCGGGGACTTGATTAATGAGCACTGGAATAAGAAAACCATGTTCAAACAATCATATAACTAGGTACCAAAGCATACGTGTCCTGGAAAAATCCACCATCAGGACCTAAAATAAGCAAAGAGCACCTGGGGGCAAGTGCAATGCTGTCTTCACCAGGGAGACAGAATTACGACATGCATTGACATGCCACCCATCACAGAAAACATGATTCTGTGTGGAGAGAAAAGGAGAAAAGAATATTATAGTAGAAGGCAAAAGATTTATACAATCTAAAGAGAAACCAGAGTACAGAAAAGGATATTTTAGGACATATGTGAACAGGGAATGGCAAAGTTTTGATTTTGGGCCATAATCAGGCAGTGATCACTACGCAAAAGAACTGTTCATGTTGCAAAAGAGTTATAATTAGAACTAATGAAAAGCAGAACTACAAGGAGAGAGATACCTGACTCAGATACTCCTTTAATATAACTGTAGAATAGTTACAGATTTAGTAACTATCAAAGAAATGTGGAATCAATCTTAAGAAAAAACTTTTCCCTTTTGTTTATATGAGCAATTAATGAACACAGAATAAAATAAAATGAATAAAATGGAGTCAAGTGGGATGGGAATAAATCTGAAAGAAAATGCCATTTTCAATTAACAATTGTATTAGAGAAAATGAATGAAGCATGAGGTGAAATAAGGTAACAGTATAAGAAGGCAAATATAAAGAATTATACATAAGATGTCTTCGAAGGGAGGAGGGTAAATTCTTTTACTTTGGATTTCATATTAATCAACTATTCCAGTGCAATCTAACTGCATTGTATAATATTTTGCATCACTTCTTGTTTTCATTTGCATGAGGAGATGGTGGTACCCAGCATCTTTTTTTTTTTTAAATCTAACTGCATTAATTACAAAGGTGGGAGGTGGCAAGTGACCTGTGGGTCCACGGGACACAGATCTCTTTACTAAATGCTGCAGTTCAGAGTAAAAAATATCCTCTGACTTTTCTGAGAGAAAATCTCTGAGAAATCTGGTGGGACAGAACTGTCTAAAGCTGAGGCTATTCCCTGCATGCCAAGAATCACCAGAGTCCTCTGAGTAGTAAAGAGTAGAAGGAGAACTAGAAATAGAAAGGCACAAAAAGATGTCAAATGCTCAGTGGTGGCATGTAGCACTGAGATTTCTGAGATGAGTGATGGGTGGGAGAGAGGTTCAAGCCACTTCTGATTCCTTTTTCTCTTCCCAAAGAAAACAGGGCAGATAAAAAAATAGCCCAAAACTAGCAGCCAGTGACCTGAGATATTTGAAAGTTAAGTGGAGGATATTTAGGTTACGTGCAGATTTAGACTTAGCCATTTAATGAGACAGTGTCTCAGAATAAAATAAAAATTAAAAAGGCTGGGGATGTAGCTCAGCATAACAGCCTTGGGTTCAATCCCCAGACTTGCCAAAAAAGTCAAATAATAACACTTACTGGAGAGTATGGAGAAATTGGAACCTTAGACAGTGCTCAGGTAACCTGAGTAGTCTTCATCATCTCAAAGTCTAACTTAGCCCTTCTCCTAAAGCCCAGCTCTAGGGGACTATGAAAACTATTTTAATTGCACGCACATCTGTACGACTCTTATTTTCTAGGTAGTTACCATAAGGTTAGAAGCATAGCCTATCAGAAGTCAGAGGGAGGAATCCCTATTTTATTCCTAGAGATGAAAAATGAAACTGAGGTTAAATGTAGAAGCACGATTATGAATGTGAATTTTCAAGAAAATAAGACTATATTTACATAATAGAAAATAACTACCAAATACCTTTACAAAGATCAAAAGCCGTTAGCCATCTTAAGATGCTTAATTATAAGTTTAAGACATAAATAAATTATCATTTATATCCCTAGCAAATAAGTCAGATATATTTTATCCCTAATAAAGCTATCACTCAAAAACAGGAAATACAATCTTCCAATGATAATTCTAAAAATCAAAATCCATTCTATGTAACTAATATATACTAATAAAACAAAGGGCAGGAAGAGAATTTAATTGCAAACTTTAATTTTAGTAGTTCAGTAGTCAAAGGTAAAAAAAATAGGTGTGGAATTTGAACAAATTTAGATTACCCACTGTTATGTTGATGAGAAAGTAATAGGTCAGGTAATCAATTGAAGAACATACTTGATACTCTTGGTACCTAATTGGTAACTTCATCCTTAAGCATGTCTAGCAGAAAGGCTTGGCTTTGCTCAGACTTAGGTAAATTGTACCTCACTGTATCAGACACCGGGCACATCTTTCCGTCCTGCGTGTCACCTCTGGGTAATAGATACTGCCTCGTTCTAGGGCCTATTGCTGTAGTGCACACTGCACTCCCCATTCCTGCCATCTGCATTTCTACAGAATCCAGAGAATTAGGAACCCAACTCTCCTGGAGCAACTTCCATTCATGGCTCCTTCATACATGGATATATTATCCGTCTCCTTCTCTCTTGCGGTGGGAAGACTTACCTGAATGAGTTCTACACTAGGCCAGAGATTTAGCTCAGTAGTTCTCATGCCTGCCTCGCAAGCACAAGGACTGGAGTTCGACCCCTGGTACCAAATAAATAAATAAATAAATAAATAAATAAATAAATAAATAATAAATAAAACCACAGTAATGAGTTCTACACTAGCTCCCCTACAGTGGCCACTGGCTTGATGATATATCCTTTCCTGGCTGCCTTCCTGCCTTCTTTCACTTCTTCGACACCCTATTAGTATTTCATCCAAGATTGTGGTCGCTCAAAGCTACACAAAGAAGAAATTTCATGAAGGATATTTATAGGAATTGAACAGTAAAGTGTGAGTAAAAAGGGAGATGGTAGGTAGAAGGACTGCCTGGATAGTTTTAAGGAGCCACTAAATGGAGCCCACTTGCAGGGAACAACTGAAAATCAGACACAGCTGAAGCAATCCCACCTTGCTTCTCCCATGGCTGGCCCTAAGGCACAGTCCTTCTGCCTGCAAATCCACTGCTGGTTTATCCACCCTCACATACAGAACCAGGTCTTGTGTCTACATCTTTTGCGCCCAGATTTTGGCTTCTTTGTTCCTCTAGTTCTTGGCCTGTTCAAATGTAATTCAGCCCAAGATCCTCTCATGATGCCTGTTCTCAAAGAGGATTCTCTCCCAGGTATTGCATTCTTATCACTGTTGCCAGGCACAGTCACCAGGCTAATTCTTACCTCCATGTTGGCGTGATACTTCCTGTATTTGTTTAGCAATCAAACCCTTTCTCAAAAACTGCCAAGGAGTTCATATTCCTTCATTAGTGAGTGTATATTTCAGTTTCAATTCTTTGAAAGTTATAAGCTGTTGTCTTTAAAACAAAAACTAGGAATCAGTTACTTTTCTGACACTGCATGCTAAGCTCCCTACCACTTCAGTTATTTATTTGTTCATTACCGGATCCTTCTTTCTGTGTAAACATCTTCCTCACAGTCTGGCAGGCAGAGCCATCTCCCAGGCACACACCACAGCGGTCCTCTGTGGCATTGGAATCGATCTCATAGTCACAGCCGACCATCTGTGGGGAAGAAAGATCAGGATGAATGACATGGGTAGGAGGTACCACACCTTCCGTGGTGTACAACTTGCCCATTGCCCCTTTTTTCTTAATAAGTTTGAGGCAAAGGTGAAGGACAAGGAGTTACTTTCTTTTCCTGGTAGCAGCCAAAGTAATAACCAAAGCTGTAAAGGAAATAGATTCACCTCCTCCTATCTCTGGGGATGGGCTTCAGCACACCTAGGGATTCCAAAGTTACAGATGCTCAAGTCCTTTATATAAAATGGCATAGTATTGCACGTAACATCTGTACATCCTCCCATTACTTTAAACCATCTCTAGATCTCTTGGATACCTAACATAATGTAAATATTATGTAAATAGTTGTTGCACTGTATTATCTAGGGAATAACAACAAGAAAAAAGTCTGTACTTGTTGGGCAAGACATTTTTTGAATTTTTAAAATTTAAGGTTAGTTAAATTTTACAAATGCAGAACTAATGGACATAGAGGGGTGACTGCACTTCCTTAGAAGAGTGAGAGGTAGGATCAACACAGGTACAAAGACTTAACTTCAAAAATGTCCTGAAATTGGAGTTGGTGAAGCAACAAGTCTCTTCAGATGTTCAGAGCTGACACTGTTTCCTATATGTGGAGACTGACTAGTGGGTGACAGAACTACTCCACTTGTAATTCGGTTGTTCAATCCCTGTGCCTCCCTCAATGGAGTTATTCTTTCTAGTTTCTGTCTCAGAATGGTAGGTAAACCAACAGCCACTGGAGGAAATCGGCTTAATGCTGAGATGATTCTAGTCCCAAGAGGGATGAAATCTCTACCTTCAGACCCATGATCAGCCCCTTTGATGCCTCCCACAACCCTAGCCTCAGCATTCTTAAACATATCCCAGTCATCTTGACCTCCCGCCCTCTATCTGCAAGAAAGAATTTCTTCTTCCTCCTCTGGGCAAACACAAATTTTGTTCCTATGCTCTGGAACCAGTCCATACTCAGGGTACTGTCCAGTGGTCCACTTGAGTTGTTATCTTTCCCTATCCATTTTCCCTGCTATCTGATAATATGGCCGAGTCTTTCCCACCCTAAAATTCCAGCTTGAAAAAAAGGTATGATGAAACTTGCAGTTTTCTGTGATATTGGGTCCCAAAGCATGATAATACCTAGTGGGAGTCATGAAACAAACATAGAAAGTCGACTAGACTGCTCTCTTGCCATCTATCTACCACAGTTACATGGAAAACTACCATATTCCTTTACGCACAATTTTCTTTCCTGCTTAGGAGGAAAAATTGTACCCAGGTGGGTTCTTTTTCTTCTCAAAAATAATTTTCTCTCTTTTGTTAATTTTTATTTGTATTAATATGTCTTTGCAATACATAATGATTACATTCATGTATGGATTTGGTACATGTATATAACACATCTTAATTCCTTTTAATCCCTTTTCCCTTCCCTCTGTGAGTTTCCTCCCCTACTGCAAAAGATCTATCTCCCTGTTACCTATTATTCTTTATTTTGCTCTTTAATATATTTACATTTTGGATTTCTCATATAAGAGAAACCATGTGATAATTAAGCTTGTGTTTCTGATTTATCTCACTTAACTTATGATCTCAAGATACATTCATTTTTCTACAGATGACTTGTTCATCCTTTTTTATGGCAGAGTACCTTCCTTCCTTTCTTCTTTCCTTCCTTCTCTCTCTCTCTCTCTCTCTCTCTTTCCTTTTTTTTTTGTATTAAAGATTGGACCCAGGACCTTCACACTGAGCCATATCTCAAGCTTCTTTTTTAATGTTTTTAAAAATTAATTTCATTAGTACATTTTAGGTGCAATATGATGACACTCATCACTCTAAAATTGTACCTTTATATAATCTATCATAGGTCTTATTTTTTCCCCATTCCTCTTCCCTCCCTTCAACCCCTTCACACTTCCCTAGCTACAAAGACTTTGTTTCCATTTTTTTCTTTTCTCATGTTAATTCCATTCCCATCTTTCTTTTTCCCATACAGTTCCCATTTCCCCTTCCCCGGTACACCTTTTCTTCCTATGTCAGATTATCTATCATACCTCTTAGTCCTTATTTACACTTGCAGTTTCTCACACTACAGAAACTATTTGGTATTTACACATATGCATCCTATTTATTTCACTTAAGAGTATCGGCTCAGTGTGCATCCATTTAGCTATAAATGTCTCTAGGTTCTCATTCTTTATGGCTGAGTAGTAGTCCATTTTATTTAAAATTTTTTTTCTTTATCCAGTCTCCTTGTTGATGAGCAGCTGGGCTGCTTCCAAGTTTTAACTATCACAAATTATGCTGCTATGAACATGAGTGCACATAGATCATTGTGGTATGATTCTTTCAATTCTTTGGGAAAGATAACCAGCAAGGGGATACAGGGTCAAATGGGACCTGAAATTGTAGTTCTGTGAGGGATCTCCACACTGACTTCCACAGAGGTCACACCAGTCTACATTCCCACCAGCAGTGGAGCAGGGTTGCCATTTCCCCATGGCTCCTCAGCATTTGTTATTGATTGATTTCAGGATAGCAGCCTTTCTTTCTGGGGTGACGTGGACTCTCAGTGTTGGTTTCATTTGCATCTCTCGAATGACCATTGATGCTGATCATTTTTTCATAGGATTATTTGCTATTTCTACTTCTTTGTCCGAGAAATGTCTGCTCATTTCAGATGTCCATTTTTGGATTGCGTCTTTAAATTTGGGAGGTCTGATTCTTTTTTAGTTCTTTACATATATTGTAGATAGTAGACCTTTGTCTGAGGAAGAGCTGCTGAAAAGTTTTTCCCCCATTGTAGATTGTTTCTTCACACTATTGTCTGCTTTTCTTGCTGCACAGAAGCTTTTTAATAAAAAGAGATCCCACTTGTTGATTGTTTGTGTTAGTTCACGGCAACTAAGGTTTTGTTCATAAAATATTTCCTTACCCAATGTCTTCAAGAGTTCTACCTAACCTCTTTCCCAGCAGGTTTATTTTCTGTTTCAATATTTAAATCTTTAATCCATTTTGATTTTAGTTTAGTGCATGGTGAGAGATAACAGGTCTAGTTTTAATCTTTGGCAAATTGAAAAGCAGTTTTTCCAGCACCATTTGCTAAAGAGGCAACCTTTCCTGTAGTGAGGGTGTTTGGCTCCTTTGTTGAAAATGAGGTGGCTGAGTGTGTCTAGACTTTTTTCTGCATCTTCTAATATGTTCCACTGGTCCTCAGGTCTGTTTCTATGCCAGTACCATTTTGTTTTATCACAGTAGCTTTGTAGTAGTTTCAAGTCAGGGATTGTATCTACCTTGTCTTTGTTGCTTAGAATGGCTGTGGCTATTCTAGGTCTCTTCTTCTTCCAAATGAATTTTTGGATTGCCTTCTCAGGGTCTGTGAAGTATGCTACTGAAGTTTCAATTGGGATTGCATTGAATCTAGATAGCAGTTTTGGAAGTATGGCCATTGTCACTATGTTGGTTCTTCCTCCCCAGGAGCAGGGGATGGCTTTCCATTTTCTGATACCATCGTCAATTTCGTTTTTCAAAGTGTTGCAGATTTTAGAGTAGAGGTCTTCAATTCCTTTTGGTGGGTGGAATCCTAGCTATTTCAATGTTTTGGATGCTACTGTGAAAGGAATTGTTTGTCCCACTTCTCTCGCAGTGAGTCTGTTTTTCATGTACAGGAAAGCTGTTGATTTTTGTGCATTGGCCTTGTATCCAGCTTCTTTGCTGAATTTGATTAAATCTAGAAGACTTTTGGTGGAGTTCTTGGGTTTTTTATAGAGAGTATCATGTCTTCTACAGACAATGATAATCTGACTTCTTCATTTCCCATTTTCATTCATTTTCTTTCTCTTGTCTGATTGCTGTGGCTAATGTTTCGAAAACTACACTGAACATGGTGATTGATAGTGGACATCCTCGTCTTGTTCCTGATTTTAGCATGAAGGATTTCAGTTTTTGTCCATTTAGTATGATATTGGCCGTTGGTTTCTCATAGTGGCTTATATCAGATTGAGGTAGAGCCCATCTATTCCAATTTTTTGCAAGGTGTTTCTTTATGGTTAATGCATTTTGGATTTTGTCACATACCTTTTCTTCATCTATTGAGATGATCATATGGTCTTTGTCCTTGGCTCTATTAATATAGTGTATTATATTTATTGATTTGTGTATGTTGAACCATCCCTGCTTCCCTGGGATGAATCCCACTTGACCACAGTGTATGATTTTCTTAATGACCTCCTGCATTCTATTTGCCAGTATCTTACCAAGGATTTTTGCATCCATGTTCATCAGTGAGATTGGCCTATAGTTCTCTTTTTCACTTGGGTCTCTCTCTGCTTTGGGGCTCAAGGTGAAGTTTGCTTCCAGGAATGTATTTGGGAGTATTGCTTCCCTTTCCATTTCTTTGAAGAGTTTAAACAATAGTGGCAGTAGTTCCTCTCTAAATGTCTTTCAGAATTCAGCAGTGAAGCCATCAGGGCCCAGGTTTTTCTTAGTCGGTAAGTTTTTAATTACATTTTCAATTTCACTGATTGATATTGGGTCATTTAGAATGTTTAGGGCTTCTTCACTCAGTTTTGGTAATTTATATGTTTCTAGTAATCTGTCCATTTCTTCTGTATTTTCCATCTTCCTGGCATATATGTTCTCCAAGTAGGTCTTGATGATCCTCTGGAGTTCTGCTGGGTCTGTTGTAATTTACTAATTTTCACTCCTAATTGCATAGATTTGGGCCTTTTCTTTCCTTTTTTGGATTAGGGTGGCTAAGGAATTTTCAATTTTGTTTATTTTTTCAAAGAACAAACTCTTGGCTCCATTGATTTTTTTGTACTGTTCTCTTAGTCTCCATTGCACTGATGTCTGTTCTTTCTGGTCTTTACAATTTCCTCCCTTGTATGAGCTTTGGGTTTGTCCTGCTCTTCTTTTTCTAGAAGCTTGAGGTTCAGCATCAGTTTTTTTAATTGAGCTTGCTCTTCTTTCCTAATATGAGTATT